TGGATTGAAGCTGCAGCAGTGTTTTACACTGTCACAAGAAAATCTTTACTGGAAAAAAACCCTGATAGCTGTGGTTACCAGACTTTTACTGTTAAAAATATGGTAGAAACAATTTAAAAAATCTAAAGATTTTATATTATAAATAGTAGTGTCATAAACCCAGTGTTCTAAATGATAACATCTACACATATTACAAAATTTTACGCTAAACTACGGTATTTAAATTGATCCAATGGTAATACACCAAAGTTTTAAAAGTAACATTACATCCTATTAGGATATTTTACGGTACACTTACTGCGAAATTATTGACCCATAGTGTTATACATCAATATTTTGAAGTACTAACATATTGCAAAATTTTATAATAAACTACCATATTTCATAAATGGAGTTATACACCAATGTTGTAAAGTAGTAATAAAGTATTATGGTAATCTACTATATTTTATTAATTCATAGTGTAATACATCAAAGTTCTGAATATTTTACAGTAAACTACTGTATTTCAGTAATTCATAGTGTTATACACCAATGTTTTAAATATTTTATGGTAAACTACTGTATTTCTGTAATTCATAGTGTTATACACCAATTTTTTAAATATTTTACGGTAAACTACTGTATTTCAGTAATTCATAGTGCTATACACCAATGTTTTAAATATTTTACGGTAAACTACTGTATTTCAGTAATTCATTATGTTATACACCAATGTTTTAAATATTTTACGGTAAACTACTGTATTTCAGTAATTCATAGTGTTATACACCAATGTTTTAAATATTTTACGGTAAACTACTGTATTTCTGTAATTTATAGTGTTATACACCAATGTTTTAAATATTTTACAGTAAACTACTGTATTTCAGTAATTCATAGTGTTATACACCAATGTTGAAATATTTTACAGTAAACTACTGTATTTCAGTAATTCATAGTGTTATACACCAATGTTTTAAATATTTTACGGTAAACTACTGTATTTCTGTAATTCATAGTGTTATACACCAATGTTTTAAATATTTTACGGTAAACTACTGTATTTCTGTAATTCATAGTGTTATACACCAATGTTTTAAATATTTTACAGTAAACTACTGTATTTCATTAATTCATAGTGTTATACACCAATGTTGAAATATTTTACAGTAAACTACTGTATTTCAGTAATTCATTGTTTTATACACCAATGTTTTAAATATTTTACAGTAAACTACTGTATTTCATTAATTCATAGTGTTATACACCAATGTTTTAAATATTTTACAGTAAACTACTGTATTTCAGTAATTCATTGTTTTATACACCAATGTTTTAAATATTTTACGGTAAACTACTGTATTTCAGTAATTCATAGTGTTATACACCAATGTTTTAAATATTTTACAGTAAACTACTGTATTTCAGTAATTCATTGTGTTATACACCAATGTTTTAAATATTTTACGGTAAACTACTGTATTTCAGTAATTAATAGTGCTATACACCAATGTTGAAATATTTTACAGTAAACTACTGTATTTCAGTAATTCATTGTTTTATACACCAATGTTTTAAATATTTTACGGTAAACTACTGTATTTCATTAATTCATAGTGTTATACACCAATGTTTTAAATATTTTATGTTAAACTACTGTATTTCAGTAATTTATAGTGTTATACAAAATGTTTTAAATATTTTACGGTAAACTACTGTATTTCAGTAATTAATAGTGCTATACACCAATGTTTTGAAGTACTAACATCTACACACTGCAAAATTCTATGGTAAACTACTGTATTTCCTTAATTCGCATTGTAATACATGAATATTTTGAAGTGCTAACATATTACAAAATTTTACGGTAAACTACCATATTTTATTAATCCGAGTTTTGAAGTAACATCTACACATCATATTGCAAAATATTATGTTAATTATTATGTTAATCTACTGTATTTCAATAATTCACAGTGTAATACAGTAATATTTTGAAGTATTGAGATGTGCAATTTTTCAAAATTCTGTGGTAAACTACTGTATTTTAGTAATTCACAGTGTTAAACAAGTTTTCAAGAACATCTACACATTATATTACAATATTTTACAGTAAACTTCTGTATTTCAGTAATTCACAGTGCTATACTCCAATGTTTTGAAGTAACTTCAACACATCTTATTGCAATATTTTACAGTTAACTACTGCATTTCAGTAACCCATAGTGTAATACACCAAAGTTTTAAAGTACTAACAACAAGACATTACAAATTTCTATAGTACACTACTGTATTTCATTAATTAATAGTGTTAAGCACAGATGTTTTGAAGTACTAACAACATTTTACAGTAAATTACCGTATTTCATTCATTCGTAATGTAATACACCAGTATTTTAATGTACTAACATGTACATATTACAAAATTTTAAAGCAAACTACTGTATGTCATTAATTCATAGTGTTTGATACAGATGTTTTGAAGTACTACCATATTGCAAAATTTTACGGTAAACTACCGCATATTACTAACCCATAGTGTTAAACACCAAAGATTTTAAGTAACATCCACACATCATATTACAATATTTTATGGTAAACTTCTGTATTTCCGTAATTCATAGTGTTATACACCAATTTTATAAAGTAACATCTACAAATCATATTACAATATTTTACGGTTAACTACCGCATTTCATTAACCCATAGTGTTAAACACCAAAGTTTTGAAGTAACATCTACACATATTACAATATTTTACGGTAAACTACTGTATGTCATTAATTAATAGTGTAAAACACCAACGTTTTGAAGTACTAACACATACACATCATGTTTAGAAATATTTTACAGTAAGCTACCGTATTTCATTAATTCAATTGCATTTCAACAGTTTTATATTTTTTTTGTTTCAGTTGATTTTTAATGTATTTTCACAGCAGAACACAAGGAAATAAATAATGGCACCACATTATCAGTCATTTTTAAATAAATAACATGTCCCTGCTAACTGAACTCAGCGTTGTTGCTGATAGTAGCCACTGTCAATGTTGAATATTGAATTGATGAATGTGATGTAATTCATGAAAATACTAAATAAGCGTGATCATGTGTGCGGTAGAGCTGTGTGTGTATAGAGAATCAACAGCAGACATACTCCGCTGAGACTCCTAAGACACTTAAATCTGTGTGTGTGTGTGTGTGTGTGTGTGTGTGTGTGTGTGTGTGTGTGTGTGTGTGTTCGCTGCACATACTCGATTGCGCTCAGATTAAGACTTGAGCTTTGTCTCTAATGAGCTTACAGCAAATGCTCACTGTCTTTTGCAGAAATGCGCGTGTGTGTGTTTGTGTGTGTGTTTAATGCGCTTGTTTGGATGAGACTCTGTTGCATCAGGCGTGTGCTTCATGGCTGTGAAAGACTGCAACCTGTAGTTGTTCGCTGTTGAGCGCGATTTTCGGTGTAAATGGGTATTCTGTATGTAGGTTAATTCAGCGATTTGAATATATTTATTGATATAAACGTATAGTGTGTATGTGTGTGTGAGTGTGTGCCTTGTATTTCTCACCTTGTGGGGACGCTTTCAGGATGTTTTGATAGTTTTGTTGACTTCAGATCTGCATTCTTACTCGTTCACCATCAGTATATGGAAAAGAGCAGCGTGAACATTCTGATAACAAGCTCATTTGCAGAAAGTCACATGTGATTTGGGCATCGTTATTAGCCTGAACTGTACACCAGAAACGTCATGTCGTGTGTGTGTTTGTTTGTTTGTTTGTGTGGGCAACTGTGTGTGAATGTGTATGTGTGTTTGCTATTGTGTGAATGTGTGTATACGTGTGTTTGCTATTGTGTGAAGTCATATGTGTATGTGTGTATAAATGTGGTTGTTATTGTGTGAATGTGTGTGTGTATGTGTGTTTGGTATTGTGCAAATTTGTGTGAGTGTGTTTGTTTGCATGTAAGTGTGTGTTTGTGTGTGTGTGTGTATGTGTGTGTGAGAGTATGTGTGAGTATGTGAATGTGTGTGTTTGCTGTGTGGGAGTGTGTGTAAGTGTATACCTGTTTTTTGTGTGTGTCCGCGCGTGTCTGTGTGTAAATGGGTTTATTAGTGTGTAAATGTGTACGTGTGTGTCTGAATGTGTTTGTTAGTGTGTGAATGTATATGTATGTATGTGTGTGCGTGTGCGTGTGTGTGTGTGTGTGTGTGTGTGTGTGTGTCTGTGTGTGAGTCTGTGTGTGTGTGTGTGTGTCTGTGTGTCTGTGTGTGTGTGTGTGTCTGTGTGTGTGTGTGTGTCTGTGTGTGTGTGTGTGTGTGTGTGTGTGTGTCTGAATTTGTTTGTTAGTGTGTGAATGTATATGTATGTATGTATGTGTGTGTGTGTGTGTGTGTGTGTGTGTGTGTGTGTGTGTGTGTGTGTGTCTGAATTTGTTTGTTAGTGTGTGAATGTATATGTATGTATGTATGTGTGTGTGTGTGTGTGTGTGTGTGTGTGTGTGTGTGTGTGTGTGTCCTGCTGGAGTGGTAAAGGAAATTCCTCCTCTTGCTCGTCAGTGTGTAACACAGATAAAGCTCTTCCTGTACAGTAGAAATAAATCCTGTTTCCCTGCGGGCCGATCGGACCCCGAGAAACCTCCGGAAGGGTGCGGAGGAGATGCCCACTCACACACGACAAACCCACCGCTCGCGCCAGTCTGTGTGTGTGTGTGTGAGTGTGTGTGTATTGTCTCAGTCTAAAAGATGAACTGCTCCTCAAGACTAATGTTTAGGTTAATCCCCGAACCACGGGTCACTTTCTGCAACAGAGAATGTTATCAGAATGTTCACGCTGCTCTTTTCCATATACTGAAGGTGAATGAGGAAGAATGCAGTTCTGTTGTTTATATTCAGATGCTTCTTGATTTAATAGTTGTAGATATTTAGACTAGAACTTCTGCTGTATGGGTGTTTCTGCTGGTGAGGGCTTGTAGATCAGCGTTCAGCACATTCATGAGTCCTTTCTCTCTCTTTGTGCTGCGGATGGGGAACGGATGGATCCGCTCGGACCGTCTCCAGAATCCGGCGTCCTGGAGAGATCACGACGACGCCACGTCCACACACTCGGCAGGCACACCGGGACCCTCCAGCGGAGGCCTGGCGTCGCAGAGCGGAGACAACAGCAGCGAACAAGGTGAGTCTGAGATTTGAACATCCATCTGGTACTGAACCAGATCCGATATGACAGCAACACACTGCGCAGGCCGCCCTGAGTGTGTGAATACAGGCATGTGTGTGTTTGTGTGTGCTGGCTTTCTTGACTTGCGAGAAAAGAAATTTGGTGTCGGCAACACTGTACAATACTATTGCTGTCTTCCACTGTAAGTGCTTGAATTCTTTAATATCTGATGTTTATTAAATAGCTGTAAATAATTGCTCAGAAAGTCAGTTGGATGACATTGATCTTCTTTGTCATTATTGTTGTAGTCGGGGTGTGAAGAAATTATTAAACACTATACTTAGTGCTGTAGCTGTTGTTCTTGGTGTGAATAGGCATTTAGGGACTAGATAATATTAGGTGCGTGCAAAAACGATGCAATGCACCAGTAATATAATATAATATAATATAATATAATATAATATAATATAATATAATAAAATATAATATATGATATATTAATTTATTTTAATATAATATAATATAATATAATATAATATAATATAATATAA